ACACCCAACGGTGGGCGCTGTGCTTGCAGAGGGCTTGCGGGAGTACTTCAGCCAGTTCGGCGAGGTGAAGGAGTGCCTGGTGATGCGGGACCCGCTGACAAAGAGATCCAGGTGAGAGGCCGGGCCCGCGCCTCCCTTCGCCCCCGCCGCGGCCCGGCCGCCACTTTAACCAACTTTCTCTCTTCTCTCCGCATCCCCTCTCCTGCCCGGGCTGCGGGGCTCAGGGGCTTCGGGTTCGTCACGTTCATGGACCAGGCTGGCGTCGACAAGGTCCTGGCCCAATCCAGACATGAACTGGACTCCAAGACGGTGAGATGACTTCTCTCATCTCAGGGGTGCATTTGCCGGCAGAGCGGCTGTGCTCGGAGCAGCCGTCGATTGCGGTGTTTGATTTCCAGTTAGAGGTCGTAAACTATCGATTCCTGATAGGGATTGATCAGCCCCTTCTCCGCCCCTCTCACTGGTGGGTAGCCTGGCTGCCGCCCAAGCACCGGGCTCACCGTCAGCCCGGGGCTGATGTCCCAGCACGGGTCTGCAGATCCCGGTGATGGTTTTTCTCCTACCCATCGGTCGTAAGGCCCCTCTGAGGAGCGACCGTGGCCCTCTTGGAGCTGGGACACCTGAGCGCGTTTGGGGCAAGGATTTGCACTGGGAAACAGATGCGGCTGTGTTTGGGGAGAAGGGAGCCGCCCCTGCCCCCCCGTGTGCTGCCGAGCACTGCTCTTTCCCCAGGGGTGCTGTCCTCCATCACCCAGGCCCTGCTTTCCCCGGCCACGGTGGCCCATGCCCTCCCCTCAGCAGAGAGCCTTCGTGCCATGCGCCCCAGAGACTTGCCCATGGTTTCCCCGGGTAAAGTTTTTGTAACGGTTGTGGAGGTTCAAGACTTTATTGTCTCCAAGCGTGGCCAGCGCCCGCCCATGTGGGCCACCACCGGCCTCTTGGAGCGGCCGCAGCTCCGGCACTCGCTCTGCACAAGTAGGGGCTGATTAGGAGCCCTGGCTGGGCCAGCAGAAAGATATTGGTGGCTCCCTGGGTCAGTAGTGTGTCGTGCCCGGTCCTGCCTTGAAAATCTGCAGTGCTTGGGAGATGTGCAGGCTGTTTTGGGGGGTGGGGGTGAGGTGTCTGAGTGGGAGGTCCCTTCTCTGTAGTTTTAGTGACTTGCCTTCCCCTGAATTCCTTTTCCTTATTGCTGCCCCGGGGTGAAGGTGAGGGTAGGGATGGGGGAGCGGGTGGGGGCTGCGAGGGGGTGGCACGGTGAGGGGAGATGTTCTGGCTCCGGGCACAGACTGCTGAGAAGTCCAAACGCGCAACTTTATTTCTTCCAGCGCATGGCTCGGGCATCCTAGCCTTTATCTCGGCAGAAGGGAGAGGGCGGGAGAGCGAGACCCCCTTTCTTAGCGTTTACGGCATGAGTTGCAGCGAGATTTATGTCTGTTCCTGTTTAACTGCCTGGATCGCTCCCTTTGATGTGCACAGGTCCTTCCTCCCCACGGGAGCTCCCGGTTAAACCTACCCCAGCCTTCCTGGCCGAGGCTGGGTCCCCAGGACTCCCAGCCCTCCTCCTTTCAGGAGTGATGTAAAGTGAGTTTTGCTCTGGGGGAGGGTTATGGTGAAGTGTTTTGAGGAGGGCCCAGGGCTTGCTTTTTTTTCTCTTTCTTTTTTTTACTAGCCTGTGTAAACACGGCCTCTCCTCAGCTAGTCCCGTCATGAGTCTGCGGGCTGGCATAGACCCCTCTTGGAAAGGCAAGTGATGGATGTCTGTTGTAGCACTAATCCCGAAAGCGTTGCGGGGCTCGGAGCGAGCCGAAACCCGCTGTCTCCATTCTTCTCCCCGAACTGCCGCTGCCGCCTGCGCCAAGCTGCTCTGCAGCCCACCGTGCAGCCCGCGAGGATGGGGAGGGACGGGGGGGCGGACGGCGGGCGCTGCGGGAGAACAGAACGGCCTCGTGGCGCAGGGCGCGTGGGGACTGGCCAGCCATTGAAATTCCCGGCTGCATCTGCTCCGCTCGGCCCGCCGGCGCGGTAGAGAGAATGGGGGCAGTTTTGCCAGGGCCCTTCCTTTGTTAGGAACTTTGATCCTCTCCCCTCTTCCTCTTTATTTTTTATTTAGCGCGGTTTTCAGCTGGGTCAGATGTTTTGGGGTGTTTTGCCTGGTGAGAGGTTGGTCTTGTGGTACCATGTGGAGCCTCCGTATGGCTTTTCCCTGCTGAGCTGAAAGGCTCTGCTGTGAGTCATGGGTTAAATGACACAAACTCATCTGAATCCTAATTTAGGGTTTTATGAAACTTTGCAGGAAAAGGCCTGGTGTCCTGGAAGGACAGCCTTCTCTCAAGGCTCGGTGTCTCCTGGCAAGCAGCGCTTGATAGACAGTGTCTGCCCAACTTGTTGCTTCATTGTTTTCCGATTCTTCCTACCCTAACGAGGGCTGTTGGCCCAATTCTCCGGGGAAACCTTGTGCTTTTCAGACTCCTCTTTGTTTGTAAGCTAGATAGCAGCAGCCTACGGGGTTATTTATGGAAATGCTTGATATGAGAATTGGCTTTGCAGTCTCAAGGTAAAAGATCTGCGTGACTTTGTAAAGCTGCGGCTGGCCGCTGCCTTGAGCTTCTTCTTTATGTGCTCCGGGAAGAGCCGGCTTGGCGGTGCTGGGTCGCCCTGTCGTTTCTTTGTTGCCGTTACTGAGTTTTTGCTGGGTTTGTCTTTTGTGGCGGAGGGAGCGATCTGCGGCTCTCGGGCAGCGCTGACTAACGGAGCGGAGGTAGCCATGGAGGTGCGATGAATGAACAAACCCAGTTCTGAGGTCTCGCGGGTCCTTCCCTGCCCTCCCCCTGCTCTGGGGCACCAATACCAGCCGGGTTAACGCAGGAGTTACGTGACCTGAGCTATTAAATGGTGCCGTAGGATGCCTGAAGAGTGTTAATGAGGAGCCCGGCCGGCCCGCTTGGTACACCTGCGACATCAGTGGGATTCCTCGTCCCCAAAGCCTTGTGGGGTGAAGTGGAAGCAGTTTGTGCTCAAGTGACTTCCACTCACCGCAGCCTGATCCCGGGGTTTTGTTTTTTGGATACAATCTGAGCAGTTCTGAATGCTCTTACTCTTAGCAGATTTCTATCTAGGTTCGTAAAAAGGATCCGTTACGTCAGTGGGTGACACTGAAACACAACTCCTCCAGGGCTATTTGTTTTAACACCAGAAATTGAGGGAATAAGGTACCAGTGCTTTTGCTTTAATTAGAAGGACTCCAGCCACCGAGGAGCAGTCCAGTTCAAGTAACTTGAGTCCAGCACTGAACTCGCTCCCCTCCGCGTGTTCCCAGGACTGCCCCTGCAGTCGGTTGCCCTGGCCTCCCTCTACCTGCAACAATAGCTGGTTGTGCAGAAGAATTTGTGAAATGACTGCCTGCTCCCTCCAGCCAGGAGGACGCGTTATCTCTGCCCAGTTGATCACACTCAGGGTAATGAGAAAATGAGGCCGAGCTTAGCATTGCTGAGTATGAAAGCATCTTCTTGGCAGGAGCTGAATGACACTGGCTGAGAAGTAAAAGACAGTAGATTATTGTTTTTGCTTATTATCTGCCATCAACCTCCTGGTCTCCTGCCGTCCCCTGTCCTCAGAATTCGCCGTGGGTGTCTGCACTAGCCAGGAAGCGGTGGGGGTGTGTGTGTGTGTGCGCGGGGAGGGGAGGGAGGGTTCGGATGCCCCAGGGAGGCACCAGAGGGTGTGCTGATCTGCCGGTGCTTGGGGAGGGAGGTTTATTTTTGAGTTTATTTGTGCTCTTCACTTTTGCCTCTGTTTACTTACGTGCTGAGTTTATTTATGTTGGTAGGCTGTGAGTCAGGATGGAGGTGGGGAAGGCAGGGAGAGAAGCTGGTGGAAGGGTGCGGGGAGGCTGAGCTCCGGGGCTGTGTGACAAGTGAAAGGATGCGGGACGGGAGGGCGGCCAGGCTGGAAAGCTGAACAAAGCAGCGAGAGGAGCTGGAGAAACACAGCTTCCTTTTGGGCTGTTTGTGCTGGCCTGCTGATGGGATGGGGCTCCGGGCTGCCCTCCCAGCTGCAGCCTGTCCAAGTGCGGGGATGAGCCAGACCTGCCTTTACCACAGGTCTTTGTAAGCTGATTTGTAGGTCTGGATCATCCCTGATGTGATGTAACTTTACAGGAGTCGCTGTAAAAATAGGCTATAAAGAAAGAGGTGGTGGCTGAGGAGGAGAGGAGGCTTCGTGGGCGTTTGGCTTGCAGCTGCATTAGTGTTGTCCCGGCTTTTGTGGTGGTGTGAGGCCAATGCAGGCACGCGCTCATCCGTGCTGAGCCCAGCAGAACCCGCGGCACCTGGATGGCGGCGCGGGGACCGGCAGCTCCGGCCGGCGGCAGGTTTATAGAGAAGCTGAACAGGCACAATGGAGGGCTCAGCCTGCGGAGGGGAGGCATCGCGTCATTGTGTGCAGCGCAGCCTGGGGAGAGGGGCAGGACACTGCCCTGCACCCGCAGCCTCCGCAGCCTGGGGGGCTTCGGAATCCTCAGTTTAATTTGTGCCATCCTGTCTGCTCTTTTATTTCTTCACCCTGTGTTTCGTGGGATGAAGTGTTTGGCTTTTTGTGTGCTGCCTCTTTTCTGTCCTGTTACTACCCAGGTGAGCTCTGTGCTTGTAGGTAGAGTGAAGGGGGAGAGCAAAAAGGCAAAAGAAAGCACTTTTAATACGAGGCCGGTGATGCAGGGCACCCAGGGGCTGGCTGAGCGGGAGGGTGCAGCCCAGTCTGTTAATCCCAGCATGTGATGGGCTCTCAGATGCATCTGGCCAGTGCTCAGCCGGAGATGGACCACTGCATGCTGGGACTTGTAGTCTCCCTGGATTACACCTTAGCGAGAGGGAAAGATGTCTGCAGCCAGCTTCGTTTTATGCACCTCGGGTAGATTATTTGGGTTTTTAGCAAGGTGCCACGTGGGCAGACACAGCCGTGCGCATGGAGGAAACCCTGCCTCTGTGAATAGGCATCAAAAGCGTGTTCACCTGTTCCTCCCCACATCTCTTTCAGATTGACCCGAAGGTAGCCTTCCCCCGCCGAGCACAGCCCAAGGTAAGCACTGCGGGCAGCCTTTGCCACTCCAAAGGGTGAAATTCGTGGTGGTGAATCTTGTCCCTCTGTGCAAGGTCGCCAGTGCACGCAGCGGAGTTGCTCCCTGGGGTTTGCTCAGGACTCACCTGGAGCGGGAGCTGCTCTGCTACGCTGCCAGCATGACGTGCTGCACTGCAGTACGCTGCTGTCGGGCTCGCAGCGCAGCGCTGGGGGCTTGCGTGGCACTGGGGGAACTGGGAGGCCCCTCAGTTATGCTTTAGGATGCACTAGTTAGAGCTGGTGAAGTACGTGCTGCCCAGGGTGAACTTAGTCTTTCCAAAGTTGCAGCCAGTGTCTGGAAGTTTTGGGCCTAAGGAGATACAGAACAGCTCCATGCTGCGATGTGATACAGGTAGAAAGAGGGCTGAGTGTATGCACGTGCGTGTGTACGAATAGGTGTACGGCAGAGAGGGGGAGAAGGATTTCATTTTGTGAAATGCCCTTGTGCGCTTCAGCACTGGAAAAGGTAGAAGGAGGTCGGTGTTGGGCTTTATCCACAAGAGGCTCTGGCATCAAAATATGCTGTTGCAGGAACTTCTTCCAGGCACACACCTAGAAACTTTTAACTGAGGAGCCAGCAGCAGGCTGGAGAGCCTTCAGACTTTGGGTTTCCCTTTAACTTTGCTCTTGGACAGGAGTTTTCAAGTTCAGAGTCTAGACTCCCAAGTGCTGTCATGGGAGAAAGAGCTGGGGAGAAGCAGTGTCAAGAAGCAGAGAGGGAAGAGGAGACTGGTGCCGGGAGGGAAGGAAGGGGGATCAGGCACTGAGAACAATTGGTGAGCAGGTATCCCAAGTAACTGGAGCCAGGAAGCACATGGTAGGAATTGGGTTAATTCCATTAAGCAGTTTGGTGACAGAAGGTGCTTTAGTGTTAGAACGGGCTGCTCTCCAAGCCAGGGAATTGCTGCGGATTAGCCCTATGCTCCTTGGGGTAATTAGGACCATGTGTTCCTCTGAGAGCAGGGGTGTAGCCAAGCAGCTAAGGGGAGGATGCAGCTGGAGAGCTGGTTCAAAGGATGTCGGTGTGCCTCAGCCTGGCAGCAATGGCTCCTCTCAGGGTAGTTTTCTTCCTTGTCCCAGTTGCATGACTGACAAGTGGCAGAGGGATCTGCCCTTTGCCTTCTTGTAAAGGCAAAAGAGATTTAACTGGAAGTTGACTGGACTCCATTTAAGTGACTGAGGAATGGGTGTGAAATGAGGCTTACTCCATGCAAGACCGGATGCTTTGCAATTTGCAAGCTAGGAGGGCGAAGCCTGGGGAGCGCTGGCAGGCCTCCTGCCCATCTTCCTGCTCTGGGAAGCAGAGCAGGCATCTCTGCAGGAGCCTGGAGGAGGCCGGCTGTGCAAAGTGGCAGGGCTGCAGGAAGAGCTGGAGGGCTGGGGAGGGGATGGTTGTGCCCTGCACCTTTGAAGTGGTGTGAAGGTGCCAAGAGACTAGCAACAGGTTAGCAATGGGAGAGGCTGGTAAGGTGCTGTCCGAGGAGGAGGTGGTGGCTGGGCACTGGCAAGCGCGGTGGGGCAGCGCAAGGGTGAGAGCATGCCTCGGGGTCTGGCGTGGGACAGACCTGCTGGCCACGTTTGTCCAGGGGGCCTTGAGAAGGTGGAACTCAGCTGCAGAAAAGGGGCAGGCACATCCCGGCAGCAGAGGGGCCTTTTGAGTCTCATTCTCTGCTGGCTCTGGGTTTACTTGGTGAATTCCTGTCCTTCCCTTTTCCAGATGGTGACCCGAACGAAGAAGATATTTGTGGGTGGTCTGTCCGTGAACACTACTGTGGAGGATGTGAAACAATATTTCGAGCAGTTTGGGAAGGTAAGTCTCTTGAGTGGTGTTGGATCAAAGCTGTTGCTTCTGGGGCAAAAAGGAGTTTTCTGAACTTCTGTGGAGGCGGGATTAGGAGCCTGTGGGTCTTCTGCATGGGGTTAAGTAGATCGAAGGTCAGTTACAGGCATTGGGTGGCTGTAATGTCTCTGTAGGGGCTACAGCCAGTGATTGATGCCCTGTGTTGATTTGAAACAAAGAATTTGTGCTTGTTCCTGGAGTCAGTAGGACCTGGGCTAGGGGAAATAGCTTTCCATTTTTTCCCAGTCCAGAGGCCTCTTATGGCATTTTAGTCCTGCAGATTTGCAGTTTGCTTAAACACTGGAGGAAGGTTTGTAGATACTCTGAACAGAGTGGCTGCAGCATCAGACCTGTGATTTTGGCCTGTTCCTAACTCTAAGCCTTGTGATTGATAGTTCAGTAATCCTTTACTAAAATAAGCCTTTTGGTCCTGAAACTTCTCCTGCTGAGTCCTGGGCAAGTGGTGATGTTGTTTTTGGATGTTTGAAGAAAATTTGGCACTATGGCTGTGCCTTGTGTTGGGCTGGCTCTTCTGTGCCAGCTGGCAGCTCAGGGAAGGGTGGGCTTCTGTGAACTGAAGTCACTTGTGCCGTGGTCCGTGAAAGCCAGGTGTGCAAACTGTGAGTCGGAACGGTATCGGAGGATAGAAGAGGGCTCAGTCTTGGCCCTTTAGTGCCCTGACAGGAGGTTGTGAGCATCCCCAGGAGCAATCTCAGTAGTATTAGGCTGAAGGATCCCAAGATTTTTAATGGGATTAGGAACTGAAGGGGATCATCATACCCAAATGCTGAGTGTGGTCACCTTTGGGGCAAGGCGCTGTTATTCAATGGTGTTGTGGATGGGTTTGTTGTTTGGGGCAGGAAGTGTTGGATTCTGTAGCTGTTGGGACTTTCCTGCCTGGCTGGGGAGGCAGAACACAGTTTGCTGGGTGGTAATCTGGCCAGGATGTTGCTGATAGCATCGTGGATATGGGGAAAGTACCACAGGAACTGTGGAGTGTGAGGGATGAAAGATTTGGTATTAATTTTCTTCTGAAAGATCCTGCAAAAGGGTGATGTTGTGTTAAGGCATACTAATCAGTAAAATGAAAGGGAGTTTTGTATCCAGTTTTGCTATATCGTTGGAACTTTGGGGCGGAAAGTTTGGAATGAGTGTTTGCTCAGTACCTTTGTTCAGCTTCCGAAGTCAAATCTGCATGTCCTGCTATGCTATCGTGACTGCAAAGTAGGACTCCTTTGTATTTCTGTTCTAAGTCCTAAGAGAAGGTGGCAATAGCAAACATGGTCAGATATCCCCATGTTTGCTAGTTGTTAGCTCTGTGTGGTTTTATTTTCTATTAGAAATAAGCAAACTCCATTGTGTCCTGAAGAGTTTTTACATGGTGTCACTGAAGGTGTCACTGCTAAATGTGGAGTTGTCTGTGTGTCTGTGTTGGCTGAAGGTTGTTAGTTTGACTTGCTTGTGCTTCTGTGCTGCTGATGGATGCGTTCGATGGGAAAACAGAATGTCTTGGGCGTAATCCCCCTTTAGCCTTAACTGTACCTCTGTTAGTTTGAAGCAGAAGCATCTCACGTAGCACTCTTTACAAGCAGTTAGAGTTGCTCTAGTCAGAGAAGTAATTTCCAGTTCTTTTGGGGCGTTATGCTGTTATGTTCCTCTTGTTTAATGGTCATGTGCTGAAAGGTGTCCTGACGTCAGGAGACTGGCAAGAACTGGTTGTGTCAGATTGTTTTCTTGGGACTGAGCAGAAGGGAGAGTTCTGCATAGCTCAGTGCGATTCATTTCTGAAGAACCAGCATCCCAGTCAACATCCGGCACGCAAAATCTTCACGAGGCCGATGCAGCTGGCCTCTTGGCTGTGGGGAGTTTCCAGGGGGAGAAGTCAGGGCTGGTCCCACGGTCTCTCTGGTTTTGGGGCAAATTTTCTGACTCAACTGGCCATTGCAGCTGAGGAGAGGCTCCTCGGAGCTCTTGCATAATGCATTTCTCCTGGCCTGCAACCATCTTCTAGGCTAAGCCCCAAATAATTCACCGAAGGCTAGGGGAACTGTTTCCTGACAAATTCTCTCCAGTTGGTAGCTCCGTATGGCTGATGCACAGGATCAGTGGGAAAGCGTATTTCAGAGGAAAGTTGCCATGGCCATCAGCTCTGGGGTTCTGAGCTCTGAATGCACCGTTCTGTGGTTTCTAGGGCTAAGAAAAGCCTGTTGCCTTCAGTTTCAGATGTGACTCATGGAGATCATGATTTTGGTATGCAGGCTCTTTTGGTGTTTGTTTATGATGCTCTGGGGCCTCCTAGCTTTCAGAGGTCTCCTAGGATCCCTCCTTCAGAGGTACTCTTGGCACCTGACTCTGTGGTCTTCATCTCTCCAATTTATGCCATCTTTAAGTGAGAGGTGGTGAAGCTTTGGTTATGTCATCCTCATCTTGGAAAGCCCCTCTGAAAAAATCTTTCCTAAGTAATTTCGTTGAGTACTTCTTCTGGAATTGAATTAGGACTGTCTGAAAAGGAATTGTTAAGGATGCCCTTCCTTACCCAAGGAAATGGCTTTGTCTGTGTTCCCTCTTCTTCTGAGCAGTCCCACAGTTTTCTAGGACTTGGTGGGAGAAAAATCACTCCTCTTTCCTCCTGTCTGTCCAGAGAGGCATGGGAACGCTTAGATGTAGAGAAGAGAGAGCGGGGAGCACCAAGTCGTCCTGTCTCAATTCCTCAAGATCAAGGTACCAGGTTCCCAGGGGTGATTTTTAGTCAGTCTTTGAGAATCCAGTGGCAAGCTCAGTTCAGATCTCAGCTTCACGGAGAGATCATCCTCTGCTTCTGAGGACAAGGGAGTACAGACTGCTGAATGGGTTTGGTGTGAAAGTTATCTTCTAGGTAACACTCAGGCCGCAAGCCTAACTGTGTCTTAAGATTTGCCACCACTTAAGGCCTTAATTAGGGTAGATGCTTTTTGAAAAATACATTTTAGTCCAGATGGAAAACATGCACATGCTGTAGAAGTTGGGAGAAGAAGTGCAGTACAGACGAGGTCAAATTAGATTATCATCATGTTCTCTCTGCTCCAAATCTGCAATTCACATGTCTACCAAGGTAGTTAGCGTTGGTGCATCTCAGGTGAGAAACAGCACACTGTGTATGTCTGTTAGCAGGAAAAAAAATGGAAGTTTGGTTGGGTTGGATATGAAAGGGCTTCCCATTTCATAAAACAAAATTCCCAAGTCTGATTTTTCCATTTTGGTATTTCTGCTTACTCTCCTATTTTTTGTTTGTTTTGTTTTCTTTCCTTGCTTCTTTCCAAAATCTTCTCTCAGCTTTGTAAAATGGAAGTGGCAAAAGAAAAATGAAAATGCGTGAGGAGGAAATCCATGAGTATTACTTAGGGATAAAGGAAGAAAGGGAAAGGCTGGCACCCCAGTTCTTCATATCAAAATATTTGGTTTTAACAGGCACAAAAGGTGAAGCTTCAAAGAGGATCCCAAATACAGTGTGAGTGTCTGTGCTTCAAGGAAGGATCACTTCTTTGTTTTCCTTCCAAAACAGTGAATGAAAAATATGGGCTGCTGTTTTGCTGAGGAAGAAAATACAGAGGTTTTTTTTTAGTACAGTGAGCAAGACTGAGAAGTGCTCTCAAGCTGGCTATGGTTTGTCAGGTGCAGCTGCTAGGGCTTTGAACATAGTGGGATCTCTAGGAAACACTTCTGGCTCCAAAAATTGCATCTCTCTGAGATGCAAGCTAAGGCCACGGACATGCTTTCTAAAGGAGATTATTTTTTCAACTGTAGGACAGAAGTCCTGGAAAGAATTGCATTCACAGTATGTGTAGCCAAGTGTCTTGGCTTAAGTTGGATGGTGTGGGACATCTTTAGACTGCACGAGGAAGTATTTCAATAGCCTCTCTAGATTCAGGCTACCACCCTCACTGAAACCTGACACAGAAAGAGAGGAGGAAGATATCTTGCGCCTACCACCTCAGGCATAGCTAGTCCTCTGTCTAGTTCAACATGTATGAGGATGCCTCGGAGGAGTTCGAGTCCCAGCTTCCTCCTTCTCTACTTCAACGTGTGGGAACATGTTGTTCTGTATTATTTTTTGGGGGAAAAAGGGCTTGTCCATCAGAGTAATTTCTTGGGTCCATTGGGTCACTGATCTTGCAAGCAAGGTTATTTGTTTCAAATAATAACTGAAAAAGATCATCTTTCTTTTTCAAGGGCTGGTCTGATGAGGTTTTGTGTAAAGTCAAATAAATTGCAAGATAGGAGGATCAGAACAAAAAAGGTCTTTTTGTCATGGAGCTTATCTACACTGTAAAGTCTTTGCCCCAGGATGTTGTTGCTAAAATTTGCATAGGCTCCAAAATGATTGGACAAATTCATGGAAGGTCTTTTAAATGCACAGACATCCCTTTGAGTTCAGGATATCCCTGAATCACAAACTGCTGGAAGGTGATGGAGTATTCTGGGGTCTATTGTAATATCCTTGCCTTGTCTTTATGTTCTTCCAAAGGTGTCTGTTGTTGGTTGGTATCTTGGGGGGTGCTGGGCAAGGTGGACCTCTGCTCTAACTTGGTGCAGCCAATCTTTTGTTTGTTGTTAGGAGAGAAGCTGGCCCTTTCAGAAACTAAAAATGCAGAGGTACTGGAAGAAATGGGGGCCTGGACCCAATTCAGGTGTTTGAACTCATAATTTTCTTGGGTGCGTTTGCATTTCATGAAGCAGAAGTGCAAGAAATATATTCACAATGACGTCTTTGCATGACTCACTAATCAGTTGTGGCTCCAAGAGTGCTTGAAAAGTGCTTAAAAGCAGTCTGCATCTCTCCCTGGGCCCCCAGGTGATCTGCGTATGTGGATGAGTCGGTCACGAAAGCTCAGCCTCTCTGTGAGGCAGATCATGCCCTGAGAGAGATCTGCTCTCTAAAAATACCCTGGAAGCAAACAAGAAAAAAGATCTGCTGAGGTCTGAGGAAGATT